GTGTGGGAAAAGACTGTGTGTGTTGACTGTGAGAGGTGCTGAGAGCCTCCTGTGAGACGTCAAGCGCTCCCCGCTTCCCGAAATAGTAAGTTCATGAAATGGTACCTGCAAAGCTTCTGATCCTGAGTCCCTTAGTCTTGCAGGCAATCTCAGCCCATGAGTTATTCCACAGAGTTTAGTGGGACTATTTGTTCTGTGCCACATGAGCAATCATTCCAGGATCAGACTCCAGGATCACAAAATAGGATGCAAGGTGAGATGAGAGATCCTTGCTAGATATGGGCCCAAGACTTAAAGTTCAGATCAGGGTCCAAATGCTCTCAACATTTAGGAGTGTTCTGACTGTGGGTTTTGATTGGAGCATTATAGTAATAGAAGGCGGCTATGAGTATGTCTCTATCTCCCAGTCCTGTGCCAAGTTGGTATAAATTCTCACCTATTCGTCCAACCATCCACTGCCTTGGCCGAAGGCAACAAAAATTGAATATTCAGTCGCTTCCATAACCCGAATTCAGCTTGTGTTAGTGTAACGCCAACAGACCCCAATCGTCGGGATCAAACTGGGGACCTCTGGATCTAAGTGCATAAGCCTCTACCGCATAAGCTAAAATCCAACTGGCTGTTAGCGAAGGCTGTAGAGCAGACTCAATCTCTCTCTCAAAGTGGTCTTGGTGTCACTAGATGGGACAGAACACCACCCCCAGAAGGTGTGTGGGTTACATACTTCCCCAAGCTGAGGAATAATGTCCCGAGTTTCAGAGACTTCCCAGGTGAAATCCTGGATGAGCCCCCACTTGTAACAGAACAAGGAGTAATGGTCTCAATGGTGGCATGAGATGGGACAGAACACCACACCTACAAGGTATGTGGGTTACATTAGCACAGCCAGCGGTGTAAAAACACCAGCAAATGAATCTACCATAATCACACGCGCTTACCGCCAGAGGAAGGAAGTGCTATGACATGCCATGAATACGGATAAGGGAAAGGCTAACAGTTCAGAGAGGGAACAGGTAGCTTTTCAGCTCAGGAGCGTGCATGCATAGAAATCAGGAATCTGGAAAATTAGCTTGGAAGGTGCAGCAGTGTCGAATGCCAACATTACTTTCTGGCTGGCTACATGGTATTGTACGTGTCTTTCGGTCAGGGTTCTCAGTCTTGGCTCGTCCAGACTGAGGGAACAGCCGAATCTTACACCCACACTTTGGACTGGTGCAAATGACTGCACAAGGCAGTGGAGAATCCGGTTCTCTAATCACTAGATTCTAGTAATTCACAGTAAATGGAAGTAAAGGCGTACCTTGCACTCCTCTCCCACCGTATGCGTATCCAGGGTTGCTCAGATACTATGGGTGAAGTCTAAGAAAATAGCTACAGAGGATGCAGTAGACGGATGGATACATGGGCACATACTAGAACACAGAGTGAAATTGCTCCATTTGCTTGAGTTTTCTATCCGTTATAACAAATGTTAAGGCTGAGAACCTACAATTCTGATTAAAGTCAGAGGAAGCTGCAAGTGCTCATGAACAAGGCTGTCAAGGTTCCTCCCCCACTCTGAACTCTAGGGTACAGATGTGGGGACCTGCATGAAAAACCTCCTAAGCTTATCTTTACCAGCTTAGGTCAAAACTTCCCCAAGGTACAAAATATTCCCCCCGTTGTCCTTGGACTGGCCGCTACCACCACCAAACTAATACTGGTTACTGGGGAAGAGCTGTTTGGACGCGTCTTTCCCCCCAAAATACTTCCCAAAACCCTGCACCCCACTTCCTGGACAAGGTTTGGTAAAAAGCCTCACCAATTTGCCTAGGTGACTACAGACCCAGACCCTTGGATCTTAAGAACAATGAACAATCCTCCCAACACTTGCACCCCCACTTTCCTGGGAAATGTTGGATAAAAAGCCTCACCAATTTGCATAGGTGACCACAGACCCAAACCCTTGGATCTGAGAACAATGAAAAAACATTCAGTTTTTTACAAGAAGACTTTTAATAAAAAATAGAAGCAAATAGAAATAAAGAAATCCCCCCTGTAAAATCAGGATGGTAGATATCTTACAGGGTAATTAGATTCAAAAACATAGAGAACCCCTCTAGGCAAAACCTTAAGTTACAAAAAAGGTACACAGACAGAAATAGTTATTCTATTCAGCACAATGCTTTTCTCAGCCATTTAAAGAAATCATAATCTAACACATGCCTAGCTAGATTACTTACTAAAAGTTCTAAGACTCCATTCCTGTTCTGTCCCTGGCAAGAGCAGCATACAGACAGACACAGACCCTTTGTTTCTCTCCCTCCTCCCAGCTTTTGAAAGTATCTTGTCTCCTCATTGGTCATTTTGGTCAGGTGCCAGCGAGGTTACCTTTAGCTTCTTAACCCTTTACAGGTGAGAGGAGCTTTCCCCTGGCCAGGAGGGATTTCAAAGGGGTTTACCCTTCCCTTTATATTTATGACAAAGGCCATGATCAAGGAGAAGCCAGAACTTTTAAATCATCCACAGTAAATGAAGCATACATGTTTAACTCAGGGGCATGTGGTAAAAGTTCTCACGACTTTGGAGACTAAACAAAAAAAAAACCTAACGTTTTCTTGAGTCTGTGAAAAAGTCAAACATTTATTTGTTCTCACCTTCAATATTTCAGTGGACTTCCAAGGCCATTTTCACATGCAGACACCAGTTACCTTTTTCCAGGAGAAGTTCTTTTCACTGTGCAAGTGGGTAAATCTGAACCGTGCTGAGATCTTTCTGGACACAGTTCACTAAACCAATAGCGTTCTATAAACTATCCATTCATTAAAAGATATGCCTGGTTCTCATGCTGGGAACCTATTTCCTTCTAGGTTTCAATACACAAGGACCAAATCATGACCCTTCAGCACAGATGACTTTCATTACTGATTAAGGAACACAGCAAAGGAAGGACACAATATAAGCCTGCATGAGAAATTAAAAAGAGACCGTGTGTAGTGTGGGACCGACTCTTTCCCAGACACCTTGAATTGACCCAAGGGAGCTTCTCTCTAGCAGACAACAAGGAAAACTCCATACATTTAAAGGTGCAGGACACAGAAAACAGTATCCGAATATCTCCACTACATTTGTATATTCACATACACCTCAGTTTCACTGGTCAGTTTCCAAGTCCTGAAGTCAAAACAGCCGTGGCTGTGTACAGAATTCCATGGCATGGAATCCTGGATCTAATCTCTTTTTTCCCCTTACACATGGGACCTAATCCTGCTCCCATTAAAAGCAATGGCAACATATTCAGTGTCTTCATTAGGAACAGGAACAGAGCCTCAGATGGTAAACTAATAAGCAATCGGTTCAAAAGGTCGGTATATCAGTTCAATATAAGGATGTTAATATGAATGGAGAACACTGGCTTATTAAAACCACTACGTTCTGCCCTCTGAATGACCTGAAAGCAAGATATTTATTTCCAAAACTCGCTGAATATTTATCCTTCCTGTGTGAAAATGAGCCGAGTCGAATTTAATCAGCCACCTGCTCAGTGGGTAGATTTCATCCTGTTTTGATCCTTTTTTTTTTTTTTTTAAAAAGAATGCATTGATAGGTAACACTTCTTCCCTGACTGGTAAGGACAGGGTGGAGGCAGCGTGGAGGAGTCAGCAACATGCGTTGATATGCAAGAGTTGTCCGGCTGGTGCAGAGAAAGATGGTGCTAGGTGATCAAGGGGTACGCTGCTGCTCCTTCAAAGAGGAGTCATGTGCACTGCTGGCTATCACCGGCAGCACGCAGTAAAGCTGGGTGGGAAATGGTTTTCCCTTCCTGTGAACAAGACTGAGATTTCAGAATAGTTTCTGTTCAGCAGTGGGATGAAACCGAGACCTTTTGACATTTATTGTTTTGAGAAAAAACAGAGAGGGAAAAAAGGGGGTGTTATATCCTAGAATATCCAGTAGCTCAGTGGTTACGACGCTTGCCTGGTATATAAGAGGTAGGTTCACATCTGTGCTGTACTTTATTCGGAACAGGAACTTTACTTCTCATCACCCAGGTCAGTGTCCTAGGCTAATGGGTATTCTACAGAGGAGTTCTCTCTGACTACAGATTCTGTCCAGGACATCAGAAACCTCTCCTGGACACAGGGATGCTGGAACAATTTCTATAGTGGGAGTGCTGAGAGCCACTGAACCTAATGGTAAATCCTCTATATAATGGAAACCACTTCAAGCCAGGGGGTGCTGCAGCACTCCCTGCCCCTCACACCCTTAGTTCCTGCACCTATGCCTGGCCAAAAGTTAGTTGAAACCGACTCTTTCCTACAAAAAGTTTTGGTTTTGACAATTTGGCATTTTCTCACACCCCCCCAGATAAATAAATAAAATGGTTGAATAATCCCACTTGGCTCTCGCACAATGTACTTGCCAGCTGGCTGGGTGCCTTGGAAAATCCAGTAGATTATGCCTGCTTGTAGCCATTGTGCTCTGGTCCTACCCGACTTACCGGACCTCTTCGCAGGTTGAGGTCAGAATCCTGATTTGGTGTAGCAAGGGGGAGAAGGGGGGAAGCCTCTGTGCACATCTCTCCCCCGCACCAGAGCACACAAACAGCAAAGGGTAGGATCTGTCCATCCGAACGTATGTTTGTGAGAGCCTCAAAGCACGGAGGATTATATCCTGCCCATAACATCATTCGAGCAGGAGAAGGGCAAACAGAATGAGAAGGCAACAGAGCAGCTCCCTTTGGAGTCAGTGGCAGGAGATGCTTGTTAGACACAAATCTTGTAGAGGGCAAATTGTATGGTTGATGCTTCAGTGATGAAAAACCTTCCGAGTCAATCTTTATCTGGGCACAGAGTCTCAGCTATGAAGTTTCTGGAGCTATGCCAGTTGACACCAGCGAAGGATTTCTCCTTTGGTGTAAATCAGCATAGCACCACTGGCTTCAACAGAGCTCTACTTATTTACGCCAGCTGAGGATCTGGGCCTATATAGTTGGGGTTACATGATGGAGTGGTGCTGCCATGGGGCAGAAGGCTGTGAAATTTTCATTCCTAAACCGCAAGTCAGGGCTAAGCACCCTCACGGCAGCTTTCTCGTTGCAGGTGGTTGGGCACATCCATCCAGAATGTGACTTTTTAGCTGAGCTGAAGAAAAATGAGAATGAATGTCTGAGGGGCGCTGAAAATCATGGAAATGAAACTGCAGGTATTGCATGTAGAGCTCAAAAGGGCTGCGGGTTGGACAGTGAAGTGCAAAATTGCCAGGGCTGTTGAGAAGCGGTTCAGAGAAATGAGTGAGTGAATCCTCACCACTCGGTTCTAGACCTGAACTCAGATCCTTGGATTCCTTCCACGGGCTCCCCATCACCCAGTGCATCAAGTGCAAATGATTTGGTCTTTCATTCAGTGGCCCACCTCCCTTTCCCCTGGTCTACCCTCGCTGTTCAGTTCTTGCATCACATTCTGCCACCCACTGGTCCTTTCATTTCCTTCTCCCGCTCCTGATTCTGTGCCTTTGCCACACTGCTCTGTAGGCATGGAAGTGTTTCCCAGCCTGAGTGCACTGCGCCACCTCCCTCTCCTCGTTCCGTTCCCTCCCCAAAGCCTTCGCTTTCTGTGCTGCCTGCAAGAAGTGAGCTAGAAAAAAATAAATGAATGGGACCAGCAAGTTGGACACATACCATAATATGAGCTTGCTGCAGTAATGCGCCTCCTTCTTTACCCCCTCCTCATGCCGACACACTCTCGCGTATTGCATCATGTCTAAAATTTGACTTTTCATGTGGACATATAAATATGCTTTAAAATGTGTTTTCCCTTCCCTGGCAGGTTGCAGGAAAACGTGGGACAGGCTACTGTGCTGGTCAAATGCAGAAGCTGGTGAGACTCTCACACTGCCCTGCCCGAAAGTCCTCTTTCACTTCCTCAAGGAGCCAGGTGAGGGACCCGCTTTATCTATTTATTTTAACTGTGCATGTGACCATTGTGCTCATGAAAGTGAGGGACCGAGAAAGTGGCTTACATGCGAGTGAGCCATGCTGCGCTAAGCAGAGTTGCCACTAGGTTGATTTCAACAGGAGCTGAAGGTGATCTGCAGCTGATATGAGGTCTTGCACATCTCCCATGATGGGGCCTGGTCCTGTAGTCCATACTTAGGGCCTGAGCTGAAGAACGCTGACGTCAGTGGAAAGATCCCCATTGGCTTTAACAGGCTTTGGGATCAGCCCATTGTGTAAACACTCCTGTTGAGTTCATCCACAGTGCTGGCTGAGTCAGGATTTCAGCACAGGATCATGAGAGCGTCAAGCTATGATAAAGCGTGAGATGAGATGAAAGGATAAGGCACAAGTGATGTGGTTGTTCCTCAGGGCCAAGGGTTGAGATGAGAAGCAGAACTGTGTCATTAAAATGGCATATGCACTGGGCCAAACACAACAGGCACTACCCAGGGGAAGTCAAAGGCACTTACTCCAGAGATGACTTTGTCCCTGTAACTCACTACAAACAAACATGTGGGAGAGGAGGGGGAAAATGATCTTCCAGGAAAGATCTAGATTTGGCATTTTCAAAAAGGAAAAAGTAATCTGCAAAGCTCAAACTCCTGCCTCCCTGGCAGCGCCTGACACGTTAGTTATAAACGAAGGATAAGGCAAATCCCTTTCATCTGCAGTTTCATTTCCTGCTCTGGGAGTCTTAGGTTTATCTTTGATCCATCTCATAAAGCTTTCTGCTGAAAGTCCCTTAATAACCAGCAGGACAAGCCCGTTGCACCAGAGAAATCAGCTACTAATATCCAAAAGATGTTAACACCAAGGAGGGAATGGGTGCAAAGTGGTACAAGGGGTGTGTGTGTGTGTGGTGTTGGGAGGGAGATTGAATATAATTAGGAGGTCAGAAAGAGCAAATATATAACACAAAGGCTTCAGGAAGAAGGAGTATTCATGCTTAGACACAACTACAAGATTGGTCATTTCTGACTGAGAGGAAAAACCCAAATACAACTAAAATCCTTGTCTGTACAGCCTGAGTGATATTTTATAGAATTACCTCAAAAGCAACAAGAACTTTTGTTTGCTAGTACCTGAAGATGCACCTCGAACCCTAAAAGAAAAGCAGTGACTCAACATGAACCCCAAGAGAATAACGGGGCAAAGCCATTGACTAGACTGTGCAGCTACACTGGTGCAAAACGTCAAGCCCAAATGAAGTGATTTTGGTTGCCCTGATAAAAGAGCCCTGAAGTATAATCGAAATGCATCAATCTCATCACTTGTGTAGCAATATTTTATAGAGCCACCTGCAAAACAATTACTTTTTTTTCCATTTGATTTATTATCACATTGAAATGGCCCCAAAGAATTATTTTTTCTAATTGTATTCAGTCCCCTCTCCCTCAAACACCTTGCACCAAAGAATTAATTTTTTTAATGATATTCAATCCCTTCCCTCCTCCTCCACTCTCTCTCTCTCTCTCTCTCTCTCTCTCTCTCACACACACACACACACACCATGCACCTCTTGCACCCACTCCCTCCTTGGTGTTAACATTTTTTTGGATATTAGTAGCTGGGTTTTTTGGTGTGACTGGTTTTTAAGGGGTTTTCAGCCAAAGGCTTTATGAGATGGATAAAAGTTAAAAATCTTATATACAAATCTACAGTGGATAGTGCCCTGAAAACAGTAACTTCTCGCACATGTTCCTGCCCCCACCCCACCACTCAAACATTTTGCTTTTGTCTAAACCAGAGGAAGCAGTTGAGTGGAATACAGATCATAGCACAATGTTTAAAAGATACACTAGCCCAACCTTTAAACAATAGTGATAGCTCCTTTTGAAAGCATTGCCTAAAGGGGTTGCCTCACATACAAAAAAGCTCAACCAAACAAAAACTTCTCTAAAGTCTTCTCATCAGTTTACAAAGATGGGACATAGGCCTCTTCATAGGCTCAATGCCTGTAAATTGCAAAGAAAGTTTTTGATCCCAGTGTACAGTGAAAAAAATAAAAATTTAAAAGACAAAAGCCATAGCTTTGTGACTTCATGAAAGACAGAGGTACAGACTGTAGCCTCTGACATCCTTATCTGAAGAAACAGCCCCATCCCACACCTCCTCCTCCTTCTTTCCTGACATTTTTTTTTATCTACAGCTGCCATGTGCATCTGCTAAACAGGCTGTTTTTAATCACATCAACTAAAGCTTTAAAAATAAACATCCATAAACTTTTAAAAGTTTAACATGAAGAACAGGGCATGGGGAGAAGAGAGCTGGCCTGCCTTTTAGGGGAGCATTGATACAGGACTCAAATATTGTTTTAGTAAAACAATTTTGTAGCCACTCTTTGCTAGTTGTCATGCTTTACCATGAACAAGCATTTGTAATACAAAAGATTTCCCCAACTTCTTGAGGCATTATTTCTCCCATAATTGTGACAATTTTTCCAATCCCTTTTCACCGGGCTATCAGAAATAGCAAATAAATCAGATTCTCAAAATTGTTGGTGGATGACATACTTGGACATTGACAGGGTCCTAGAGAATTATTTTTTTCTGTTCTTAGTTAACACTTTACATTTTACTTTTACACAAGCTGTAACCCTGGATACTTTACAGCATTGAATAGTAGAATACAGATGAACAACCTGAGAAAGTGCTGAAAACAGAGGCCTTGTGGTGGACTCCAGCCCTAATGTAACGGGACTAGGGAAGAAGTTAAAAGGCATAGCTGAACAGGAAGAGGGTATTATTTAAAGAGGAGATTTGAGGAAGCGGGGGGAAGGGGGGACTTTTAAAAGTTTCTGATAGTTTATTTTTAAAGCATTATTTAATGTGATTAAAACACTATGTTTAGCAGAAGCATACAGAGACGATGGCAGTTTTAGATTAAAAAGAAGCCAGGAAAGGAGGAGGAAGGAGTTTGGGGTGGGGGATGTTTCTTCAGATACCAGTGCCATAGGCTACAGCCTTTATCTCTGTCCTTCATACAGTCACGAAGCTATAGCTTTTGTCTTTTATTTATTTATTTTTTTACTGTACACTGGAATCAAAAACTTCCTTTGCAGTTTACAAGTGTTAAGCCTATTAAGAGGCCTATGTCCCATCTTTGTAAACTGGCTTTAGAGAAGTTTCAGAGTAGCAGTCGTGTTAGTCTGTATCCGTAAAAAGAAAAGGAGTACTTGTGGCACCTTATAACAAATTTATTAGAGCATAAGCTTTCGTGAGCTACAGCTCACTTCATCGGATGCATGCAGTGGAAAATACAGTGGGGAGATTTTATATACACAGAGAACATGAACCAATGGGTGTCACCATACAGACTGTAACAAGAGTGATCAGGAAAGGTGAGCTATTACCAGCAGGAGAGCGGGGGGACAGGGGACGGGACTTTCATAGTGATAATCAAGGTGGGCCATTTCCAGCACTTTACAAGAACAGTGGAAGGGAAATAAACAAGGGGAAATAGTTTTACTTTTTGTAATGTCACATCCACTCCCAGTCTTTATTCAAGCCTAAGTTAATTGTATCCAGTTTGCAAATTAATTCCAATTTAGCAGTCTCTCCTTGGAGTCTGTTTTTAAAGTTTTTTTATTTGTTAGTCTCTAAGGTGCCACAAGAACTCCTTTTCTTCTTGTGAATACAGACTAACATGGCTGCAACTCTGAAACCACTTGTAGGTAGGTAATCGAGTGACCAAAGAGATTGAAGTGTTCTCCGACTGGTTTTTGAATGTTATAATTCTTGACGTCTGATTTGTGTCCATTTATTTTTTTATGTAGAGACTGTCCTGTTTGGCCAATGTACGTGGCAGAGGGGCATTGCTGGCACATATCACATTGGTAGATGCGCAGGTGAACGAGCCTCTGATAGTGTGGCTGATGTGTCCCCTGAATCGATATGTGGACACAGTTGGCAATGGGCTTTGTTGCAAGGATAGGTTCCTGGGTTAGTGTTTTTGTTGTGTGGTGTGTGGTTGCTGGTGAGTATTTGCTTCAGGTTGGGTTCATGTCTGTAAGCAAGGACTGGCCTGTCTCCCAAGATCTGTGAGAGTGTTGGGTCATCCTTCAGGATAGATTGTAGATCCTTGATGATGCGTTGGAGAGGTTTTAGTTGGGGGGCTGAAGGTGATGGCTAGTGGTGTTCTGTTATTTTCTTTGTTTGGCCTGTCCTGTAGTAGGTAACTTCTGGGTACTCTTCTGGCTTTGTCAATCTGTTTCTTCCCTTCAGCAGGTGGGTATTGTAGTTGTAAGAACGCTTAATAGAGATCTTGTAGGTGTTTGTCTCTGTCTGAGGGGTTGGAGCAAATGCGGTTGTATCATAGAGCTTGGCTGTAGATGATGGATCGTGTGGTGTGGTCTGGATGAAAGCTGGAGGCATCTAGGTAAGTATAGCGGTCAGTAGGTTTCCGGTATAATGTGCTGTTTATGTGACCATTGCTTATTAGCACCGTAGTGTCCAGGAAGTGGATCTCTTGTGTGGACTGGTCCAGGCTGAGGTTGATGTTGGGATGGAAATTGTTGAAATCATGGTGGAATTCCTCAAGGGCTTCTTTTCCATGGGTCCAGATGATGAAGATGTCATCAGTGTAGCGCAAGTAGAGTAGGGGCATTAGGGGACGAGAGCTGAGGAAGCGTTGTTCTAAGTCAGCCATAAAAATGTTGTCATACTGTGGGGCCATGTGGGTACCCATAGCAGTGCCACTGATTTGAAGGTATACATTGTCCCCAAATGTGAAATAGTTATGGGTGAGGACAAAGTCACAAAGTTCAGCCACCAGGTTTGCCGTAACATTATCGGGGATACAGTTCCTGACGGCTTGTAGTCCATTTTTGTGTGGAATCTTGGTGTAGAGGGCTTCTACATCCATAGTGGCCAGGATGGTGTTTTCAGGAAGATCACCGATGGATTGTAGTTTCCTCAGGAAGTCAGTGGTGTCTCGAAG